CATCTGTTACTTCCCTTTCATTTGTACAACTACATCAGTAGGACTCTTATTACTAAACAAAATCATAAAAGCTTATCAACTGATTTTTAAAAAACACTTTACTGTATAATTACAAGTTATTTTATTTTTATTTATTTTTTGACACAGTATTACTACGTTGCCCTCGGTAGAATGCTGTGGCATCACAGCTCACAGCAACCTGAGTTTTGGGCTTAAGCAATTCTGTTGCCTCAGCTTCTCGAGTAGCTTAGCTGGTAACTACAGGCACCCACCACAGTGCCCGGCTGTTTTTTTGTTGTTGTTGTTGAATAGGCCCAGGCTGGGTTCAAACCCACTAGTCCCAGTGTATGTGGCTGGTGCCCTAGCTGCTTAGCTACAGGTGCTGGGCCTACAAGTTATTTTAAATTAATTGTTCATACTGCTCTGTCTTGGTATTGAGGAATGTCTGAAGCTTCAGGGGTATCTGTCAAAATTCATTTTTGGATTGCCATAGTTGGTAAGAAGAGACTAATAGCTTTCCCCTATCACTGAGTGCTCTGATAGCATGTTTTATAACAAGTTATTTAATGTATGTAAAGTAGTACATGCTTCTGGTGGGAAAATTTATAAAAAGAAAATAGCATTCAAATTCTCTTAGAGCAGTCTGTTCACGGCTTTATTTCCTGTGTCTATAGATAGTGGCTGATTCTAGGTGTTTGATAAATATTAGTTGAATGAATAATAAAATGCCTACAGGTAACTGTTATTTAAAAGCCTGTCACCACGATTGTAGTAATACTTCATATATTATTTTAATGCCATACAGTTTATTTCCACAGGAAAACATCTTTTGGTACAATGACTTTTACTTTTTAATGGTGTAAGAAATGTATTACATGCAATGCACACATATGGATTTGTGTCTGTTTTCTTCATGGCTGTAATCCTAACGCCTTGATACTGTGCGGCACATAGTAGGTACTCAGTGTTCAAATGAATGATAAATAGGTCATTGAATATTATAAAAGGCATGAAGGACACATTTACAGAACACTACTTGCAATTGCTTTGTGCAATACACTAACTTTTCTGTTCTAATTTAATTTTCTATGCCAATCTAGAAACTTTGTCTATTTAAATCCTATGACCTACTAAATTGATGTCATACCTACTTATGATTTGTGACTTGAAAAACATTGATTTATGCTCTGCACCTATAGAACAGTGGCTACAGTGTCTACCACATCCACCAAGGCTGGTGGGTTCAAACTTGGCCCAGGCCAGCTAAACAACAAAAACTGCAACAACAACAAAAAAAGCCAGGTGTTGTGGTGGGCACCTGTAGTCCCAGCTACTTGGGAGGCTGAGGCAAGAATATCACTTAAGCCCAACAGTTTGAGGTTGCTGGGAGCTGTGATACCACAGCACTCTGCCGAGGGCAACATAAAAAAACTCTCTCAAAAAGAAAAGAAAACCACTGATTTAGTTCACAATTGGCAAAAACCTAAAATTATGATTTTTTTGAGACAGGGTCTTGCTTTTACCTAGGTTAGAGTACGGGTGCACCATAGCTTATTGCAGCCTCAATGAGCTGAAATGTTCTTTTCAACCCCAAACTCCTGAGCTAAAGTGATCCTCCTGCCTCATCCTCCCTCCCAAGCAGCTGAAATTGTAGGTGTACACCACCACACCTGGCTAATTTTTATTTTTTGTAGAGATGGGGTATTACTCTGTTGATCTTGAACTCCTAGCCTTAAGAGATCCTCCTATCTTAGCCTCTCAAAGTACTAGGATTATATGTGGATCCACCATGCCCTGACAAATCTTGAGTTTTTTACTGTAATTCAGATTTTGTTCTCAAGAGAGGCTGGCAAAGGGAATAACTGGGTCAAAGACCATGTACCTGTTTAAGACTCTTGGCATCACACATTCTAGAAAGGTTCTGTTATTTTCCTACCTGTAGTATATTAAGAGTGCTTTCAGCCAGTTTTTAAAAAAGCTTTCACTTTTCCAAAAGCTTGGTTACACATAAGATAATGAAATTCCTGGGCTGTATACTTTATAGGTTAATGGGGGGGGGGAGGAGTAGTAAATCAGTACAATAAGCTTCACCTTGCCTTTTTCCATGTCTTGGACTCTTTATCAAAAGCTCATGTGACTGTATTTGTTATCACAGTACTTTTCTTATGTATGTTCTTTCCAGATTCAGGAATTGTGGGGCTTCAGCCCATAGACTTTGTCCCAAAGGCTCCCCAACATGCAGTAGACCAAAGACAAGAGGAGATTCCTGTGGTCATTGCTGCATCTGAAGACAGGCTTGGAGGGGCCATTGCAGCCATAAATAGCATTCAACACAACACTCATTCCAATGTGATTTTCTACATTGTTGCGCTCAACAATACAGCAGACCATCTTCGGTGAGCTCTGCTTGCCTGATAATACTCTCTATGGCAGGCCAGTTACCAACCTGAGAACTGTTTTTCTGTATTTTATATATATACAGTAGAAGCCCCATAGTTGACTACCTCCCTACACTGACTACCTCAAGTTGACCTAATTTTGACAGGTATGTACCATGTGTACCTAGCAGAATAGAACGTCTAGTTCCTTATGTTGACAACCTCCCTGTAGGTGGTTAACTTACAGAGATTCTACTGTATATACCATTTTATATAATTTGGGATTATAGCACATATAGGCTGTGACCTTTTTTTGTGATTATATAAGCATGTCTCCATGATATTAGAATGTTATAAGGAACTTATGCCAGGAAGTCAACTGGGTTGCTATGTTGTTTTGCTAATAAGACAGACTCAGTGAAGGAAGCAATACGTTGACATACAGGTTGCAAATTCCTTATCTCATGAACATCCTGAGTAGTTCTGGTCTAAGCTTGGAAGGCAAGAAGTGGGAAGTTGGGAGCACAGACTCTGACCTAAATCCTGGCCCAGGGTAATTTGGGGAAGCTTGGAGCCTATTTCTTCACCTATAATTATCCTGCAGAAATATCCAATTCAGTATTATTATGTCAAGTAAATTAGAAAACACCTGGCAGGGGAGGGAAGAGCTATCACCTAATGGGTACAACATAAGGGTATATGGCACACATCTTGGGTGAAGGGCTCACCTACAACTTAGGACTTACATTTACCTAACAAATGCAAGCAATGTAACTTAATCATTTGTATCCTGATATTAATCTGAAAAACAATCCCCCCCCAAACCACCTAATACATAGTAATCGCTCAGTAAATGGTCATTATTTTAATTGTGGTAATAGAAACCAATCTGATCTATAGTTTAATCCATACTTGTCTAACAGGTTAACATATCATCCTTGTGGGTTTTTCCATGATATTTAGTTTGTGAAAGTTAAAACAATTTTCTCTTATTTTAAAAATTAATTAAGATGTATATTAAATAGGAAAGAAAAAAATGACAATTTAAAAAACCTCAGAACTCACCTAAATCATGCAATAAAAGCTGTATTAGTCCAGAGCACATACAGAAATGCTGATATGAAATAGGTTATGTGTATTAAATAGGAAAGAGGAAAAAATGACAAAACCTCAGAACCCATTTAAAATATAGAAACAAAAGCTGCATTAGTCCACAGTACAGAAATCCTGATATGAAATAGACTAGAAAAAATGTGTAGCACTGGCTTTTCTTATAGGAAGTGCCTCAGAGTCACAACTATTTAGGATTACAGTGTATTACTAAGACAAGCTGTAGAAAGAGTGATTACTTTGTTGGATAAATAGCTTCTATTATCTTCATACTTTTGACTTTTTCTTCACCAGTGTAAAGAGTTGAATGGTCAAGCCTGGGCAAGAATGAGTCTCCATCTACACTAAAAACAGAAAACTAGCCAGGTGTTGTGATGGGCGACTGTAGTCCCAGCTACTTGGAAAGCTGAGGCAGTAAGCATCATTTGAGCCCAAGAGTTTGAGGTTGCTTTCAGCTAGATGGCATGACATTCCATCCAGGGAACAGTGAAACTGTCTCAATGGTCAAAAGAAAAAAAGTTGAGTAGATGATCCATGTGATGGAATGTTCTTGATTCCATAGCTTTTCTAGAGTAGTTCTAATGTTAAAAAAGAATTACCAGGCAGTGCCTGTGGCTCAAAGGAGTAAGGCGCCAGCCCCATATGCTGGAGGTGGCAGGTTCAAACCCAGCCACGGGCCAAAAACCAAAAAATAAAATAAAATAAAATAAAATAATTACCATAGAATCTTGGTTCTAGGAGGCACTTTGGCAAGAAAACCCTCACTACCCTCACTATAGATGAGGAAACCAAGGCTCAGAAATAAAGGAGCTTGAAAACACTATTTGGCCCTTAAGTTTCTTTTACATTTTATTATGCCCCCACTGGCTTGGAGACATAACTATTTAAAACAGAAACTTGGTGCTTTATTCTCACCAGGTCCTGGCTCAACAGTGATTCCTTGAAAAGCATCAGGTACAAAATTGTGCATTTTGACACTAAACTTTTGGAAGGGAAAGTAAAGGAGGATCCTGACCAGGTGGAATCCATGAAACCAGTGAGTTCCATGCATCCTTGTTTGTACTCGGTATTACAATGATAGGAAATGAATGGAATACCTGAATAACTTTGGCTATAGTACTAGTAATTTCCTAGGCATCAAGCCTGGGCAGGTCCAAGAGTCGGTTGGCTGTGTTCTCCAGCACAGGTACTGAGCGCTTTCTAGGAGTTTCTATGTAAATAAAAGCACAGCCACTGCAGTATCCTATGCCAATGATTCTTTCCTTTTCCAGTTAACCTTTGCAAGGTTCTACTTGCCAATTCTGGTTCCCAGTGCAAAGAAGGCCATATATATGGATGATGATGTAATTGTGCAAGGTACCTAAGTTTGTCACCATGAGTGCTGTTCTCCATCCAGATTATGGGTATAGTGGTTGTCTTATTTATGGTCTCCTATAAAAGGTCACCATGGGGAGAAGTGGAAGGATCAGGGACTCTCAAGGCAACTAGAAATGTAAATCTTAACACCTTATCTACTTCAGGTGATATTCTTGCTCTTTTTAATACACCACTGAAGCCAGGACATGCAGCTGCGTTTTCAGAAGATTGTGATTCAGCCTCTACTAAAGTTGTTATCCGCGGAGCAGGGAACCAGGTAAGTTGCTTACTAGACACTCCACTTCCTGTAATAGAGTTTAATGGAAAGAGGTGGTAAATTCAGGGAATCCTTTTACTTAATTATTTTATCCCAAAACTCAAGGCTGCTTTCCTGTAGATTTGTCCATGGGTTTTACAAACTAATAGTCCTTGAACATCTGATTTAATATGTCAAAATCTAGGTTCCTATTCTAACTTGGAATGTCAGCACTTTTACCAGCTAACAATTTGAGGATTTAGTTTAACAAGCAGTTTCTTCTTTACGGGCTGTGAGACTCTTACCTATTCTTCTTAAAGCAATAAATATATATATCCCATTTGTGTTTTTAGTATAATTACATTGGCTATCTTGACTATAAAAAGGAAAGAATTCGTAAGCTTTCCATGAAAGCCAGCACCTGTTCATTTAATCCTGGAGTTTTTGTTGCAAACCTGACTGAATGGAAGCGACAGAATATAACCAACCAGTTGGAAAAATGGATGAAACTCAATGTGGAGTAAGTATGTAACTGGCTTATTCATGATAAGTCCTGTATTTCAAGTCTGGGAATTTTGATGAACAAGAGATAGTATTCTTCACTAACATATGTTATCTGTCCCACCAAGAGAGGGATTGTATAGCAGATCACTGGCTGGCAGCATTACGACACCTCCTCTACTTATCGTATTTTATCAACAGCATTCCACTATTGACCCTATGTGGAACGTCCGCCACCTTGGTAAGCAGAAAACATTTCCTTGTAAGTTTTCTGCAAAATTTGGCACAGCACTATATTGTGTCTGACTGGTACAATCATTTGGCTCTTTTTCTTTGAATTATAAGGTTCCAGTGCTGGAAAACGATATTCACCCCAGTTTATAAAGGCTGCCAAGTTACTCCACTGGAATGGACACTTTAAGCCATGGGGGAGGACTGCTTCATATATGGATATTTGGGAAAAATGGTATATTCCAGACCCAACAGGCAAATTCAGCCTAATTCGAAGATACATGGAGATCTCAAACATAAAATGAAATAGAATTTAAACTATACTCATTTCTCAGGAAATTCTGCAAGACAGCATGTGTGAGAAATAACAGTTGCTAGCCTTCAATGCTTATCTGTCAACAACCCATGGAAAAAGATGTTTCAGCTGGGAAAAAATGACAAATTGCCCTGTCTGGCTTCCAGATAGACTATAAATGTCTCCATCTGCCTTACCAAATGTTTTCTTACCACAATGCTGAATGACCAAAAGAAGACTGGTAAGAGTTGATAAAGGTAGTTCAGTCAGGTTGGTACAGCTAGTTCAAAACTGCTATTTGGTTTTGTTACTACGTATGGCCATCTGTAAATAAACCTACATTTTTCAATAGGTATGCGATTCTTTTTTTTGTTCCAGATAACTATTTCCACCCAGAGATGAATCGGTATTTCTAATTTAATAACTATAACACTCACAAAATTTACATAGCTTATGTCACGCTGTAACAAATGCATGTTTCACGATCTACTTACAATGTTATAACCTTTCACAAAAGGACATTTTTACACATAATCTGTACTGAAGTCATAAGCTTCATCCTCTTGAGTCACTTTATCAAAGATAAAAGATCTTGGAGACTGTTCACCTATATTGCAGGAAAATAAAATAAAATTTTATTTTCAAAAAGTATGAGCGATCCTAAACCATGCTTCTTTGTTAGAAGAAGCTCTTTGCTCTAGACTCACCTGCTATAGACTCCTCAGGCAGTTCTTCCCATGTCTCTTCTGCAGGGGATGTATCTGAGGTCTTTTCCTGTGGGATCAAAAAACAGTGCCGGCTAATAGCTTATCTCTACTCATTAATCCAAGTAATCATGTATCTGGGAAAATCATGTCTTTGAAGGCGTATGTTAACAGGATATGCAAAAGTAAGGCTAATGATCACAAGCCTCAAATATTAAATTGTATGGGGCTTCTTTTAGTTTATTACAAATTATTTAATTTCTACCTTCTGCCCCTTCCCATTCATTATACATTATAATGCTAGAAAACTTACTTCAGCTTTAAATAATTCTTGATCAACAATTTCCTGGTCACTGTCCATGTCTTCATCATTCTCTCTCTTCTCCTGCTTCTTCTCTTTATGTTTTGGCAATTCTTCACATATGTCCTTTTCTTTTATTATTCCATTTGTCATACCCGAAGATTGGAAAAGGATACTATTGGCCAAAGGAGGGCCCCTGATAGCTAGGAAATGAACAAAGCCCATGTAAACAGATATGACCTTGACTGGTCTGTCAATGAATGCAGTACAACCGTGTCTCACCTTTTATGGTACGTGCATTGTTTGTTTCCAGTTCTTCCAGATTTAAACCACATTTAATGTCTGCCACAATACTCTCATTAAAATGTGGAGAAGGAGTCCAGGATGTAGGGGGATGGCAATAGTAACCTAATGAGGCACTGATATTGAAACCAAGGTTTGTCAGTAATCAGTTCGTTCTGCATGGTCACAAAAATGCCAACAAAAAAGAAACCATACCCTGTCCACTCAGACCACAGTAGTTTCGCAGCACCTTCAATATTTGGGCTTCCGCCTCTCTGGTGCAGACCTCTTCTTTGAGCAAACTTAGTAAAAAATTCCAGCGGATTCTTAAAGTCAGGGACAGTATATTTCAGTACTACCTTAAAAAAATTCAAAACAAGAATTATCATTCACCTGATCTTAGTGTACAGATTAAAAAAAATTTTTTTCATAATGCTATCTTAAAAAGAAATTCAAAATTTTCTTCTTAAAATGTTTATGATAAAAAGGACAAAATGGTGGCAAGGAGCTCAAGAGAAGAGATTTCTTTTACCTGTCGAGTGTCAGCCTGGGACAGGATGGCACTGGCAGCCTCCATTGGTTTTATCACTTCAATACTTGCTGGGCTTCGCAGAGCAAGTGCAGTGGAGGAGTTAAGTGGTGATGCAATGAAGCATGGGCTGTCTACGATTGTGATATGCTTGTCCAAGGGAACAACCTGCATGCTCCTGAAAGAAGAGATGGAATAATTGATGGGGCATGGGTTTATCTGGAGTGCGAGACAACATGAAGCTCAGGGTTGGATTGAACAAACTCAGCACAGTCAGTCAGATCCAGTTTATCATCATTTGCTTCATGTTTATCTAAAAAACATACTTGTTTCTTAACAGAAACAGGTTACATACTAACCTAAACACATGCTATTTCTCCTGCTATTAATATCCCTATTATTGGGCAAATTTTTGTTCCTTTCTCAAGCCAAGTTCAAATATCACTTTCTCTGAGATAGCTTTCCTCTCTCTCAACCTTGTCGTTCAAACTAAAATGCAGACAGCTGTCCTACTCCAGTCACTTCTTCCCCAAGCATGCTAATGGCTTAATTCTCTTTATTGACAGCTTTAAAAAAAAAATTTTTTTGCCTTTCTCTAGGTGACCAAAATAAATCCCATTTACTCATCTATAATAAAGTATTCCAGGCCAGGCACAGTGGCTCGTGCTTGTAATCCTGGCACTTTGGAAGACCGAGGCAAGAGAATCCCTTCTTGAGTTCAGGACTTCCAGACTAGCGTGAGCAAGAGCCCCGTCTCTTCCAAAAATAGAAAAAGTTGGCTTGGTGCCAATAGCTCAGCAGCTAGGGCACCAGCCACATACACTGGAGCTGGTAGGTTGGAATCCAGCCAGGGCCTGCCCAACAGTGACAACTACAACCAAAAAATAGCTGGGCATTGTGGTGGGCGCCTATTGTCCTAGCTACTTGGGAGGCTGAGGTAAGAGAATCGCATAAGCCCAAGAGTTTGAGGTTGCTGTGAGCTGTGATGTCAGTCCTCTACCAAGGGTAACAGCTTGAGACTCTGTCTCAAAAAAAAAAAAGAAAGAAAGAAAAAGTTATCTGAGTATGTGCCTATAGTCCCAACTATTCAGAGCCTGAGGCAGAAGGAACACTTCTGAGCCCAGGAATGTGAGGTTGCACTGAGTTACGATGATATCACTATACTGTGACTGAGGTGATTAAGAGACTCTGTCTCAATAAAGAAATAAACAAACAAAACATTCCAATTATGGAAGAGCTCAACATACCTTGTAAGTCCCATGGATATGCCGACATTACATATCCGTTCTTGTTTTAAACTATTGATGATGCTGCTTTTGCCCACATTTGGGAAGCCTACAAATAAATGGGAACGCAGATACAAAAACCATTATTTGTTGGTAGTTAAAAAATTTTCACTGCCTAATTTTACATTAGCCTGATGTTTAGTGCAAGATCAGAGTTGGATCTGACAGTCCTCACATCAACACTAAGACCAACCTTAACTTCTTCATTTCTTGCACAAATAATGAAAGGGCCAGAAAAGACAATATTAATTCAAACAGAGTTTCTAGAAGCCAACTTTCTTCAGTGCTCATTCCTGACAAAGAATTGAATCTGGCAGCAATTATTAAGTTTCTTCTTTAAGTGTACGGTTGGTTATGTTTTGGTAAGGTAAGCAGAAAGCTAATATATGAACAAACCATTTATATGACAATCTCTTACACCATTAATATGAATCTTAACACTTAAGATGTAAGTAAAAAGTGATGAACTGAAACTCACCAATTACTCCAACCTGAATGGCTTTGCCGTAAGTTTCCTGAAAACCTCCAAGAAGTTTCCAAAGGACCTCTTTCCCAAAGCAGACTTTACTTTGAAATGGAGCACCTTTCTTCTTTACCTTCACATACTGAAATTCCAAATAATTATTGTGATAAATCAGTAAAAACCCAACAATGTGGCTCCAGTACTCAGTCTTAAAATCACTATAATTCTGTTGCCTTCCAGATGATCTCCAGATGAAATCAGAGTTGGATCTTGTAATTTTTCATTTTTTAAAATCAAGCTTTTGTAAACTCATCATATTTCAACCATCCAAAATCCAAAGGAACTACATTTCTCACCACTAAAAGTAATGGTTACCTTGGTTATCTTCCCCTTGTCCCTCAGATCTGTTGAGGCTTTGAACACCACTGTTGGCAATTCTTTCTTCAAATAATTTAACCAGCTTTCCAAATTTTCCTTTGGTACCAGATCTGATAGAAATTAGAAATAAGACACACATTCCAATTTGGTCATTTTGTACAGATTAATTTGCAATCTGTGGTAAGCTACTGATTTTTCTCTGCTTTGTCTCTTCCTAGATTTTTCAAAAGGATTTAACTCTCCTACCATGCTGCCCTTTTCTTAACAGAACTCAGTATCTACACTCCTGTACTTCAATACCCCCTGCATTGCTAACCTTTTCAGGACAGACTCAACATCTGGATTATAAACCTGCTAATCCTAGACTTAGGTTTCCAGAATTTATTTTCAGCTTGCAACCATTTGTTTCCTAATCCCCAAAATTTGGGGTGTCAGTTAAACTTCCTGCTTCACATATCTTGGTTTTAGGTTGTTACTATTCCTGCCACTCTAACTCTGATACATAATTATTCATTTCAGTTAAATATTTTGTCATATCCATTCTAATTTTTTTTTTTTTTTTGAGACAGAGCCTCAAGCTGTTCCCCTGGGTAGAGTGCTGTGGCATCACAGCTCACAGCAACTTCCAACTCCTGAGCTCAAGAGAGTCTCCTGCCTCAGCCTCCCAAGTAGCTGGGACCACAGGCGCCCACCACAACCACCGGCTATTTTTTGGTTGCAGCTGTCGTCGTTTGGCAAGCCCTGGCTGGATTTGAACCTGCCACCTTGGGTGTATGTGGCTGGCGCCTTAGCCACTTGAGCCACAGGTGCTGAGCCGACATCCATTGTAATTTATGTCACTCTTGAGTTAATACGTAATACTGTGTAGGTGTGTGGAATTTGGCATACTGTCACCACTTCCTAGATGAAATATACTTAACAGTAAATTGGGCATAGAAGCTTACCTACCCTCTTAAAATAAGCCAAAATGGTAAGTACTAAGTGGCAAGAGTAGAAACCAGTCCAATCTCTTGAAAACCCACATTCTTCCCACTGCCCAGCAGAGTTTTTCACAACTGGAGTATACATGCTCTGGCTTTGCTGAGGTCAGAGTTGGATCTTATCAGTCATCAATGACAATCAGACTGTTCAGATGTTTTCCTCATACCTCACCAGTGCATGTGGAAAACAAGGAGCATCCCCTTGGCTCACCTGATTTATTTAATACAAGTACCAGCTTTTTCTGTCCACTCTGAACAATGGCCTCTTCCACCTGAGGACACCTGCAACCAAGAGGATCTCTGGCATCCAACACCTCTAGCACAACATCTGAGATTTCAATCACCTGTCAAGAAGACATGATCAAAAGTACATCCTGGGTGGGCACAGTGGCTCACACCTGTAATCCTAACACTCTGGGAGGCTAAGGCAAATGGATTGCAGGAGCTCAAGAGTTTGAGACCAGTCTGAGCAAAAAGCGAGATCCAGCCTCTACAAAAAGTAGAAAAACTGAGGCAAGAGGATAGCTTGAGCCCAAGAGTTGGAAGTTGCTATGAGCTATGATGCTACAGCACTCTATCCAGAGTGACAGCTTGAGACTCTGTCTCAAAAAAAAAAACAAAAAAACAAAAAAACACAACTGCATCCCTTATGCCAGGCACGGTGTCTCATATCCGTAACCCTAGCACTCTGAGAGGCAGGCAAATTGCTTAAACTCTTGAGTTTGAAACCAGTCCAAGCAAGAATGAGACCCTGTCTCTACTAAGAATAAAAAACTGAGGCAAAAGGATCACTTGAGCACATGAGTTGGAGGTCACTATGAACTACGATGCCAGAGCACTCTACCCGGGGGGACAGAGTGAAACTGTTAAAAAAACAAACAAAAAACCCCCCCTGCATCCCTTATTCAGCCATAAGAAAATGAGGACTTTATACTTTTTATATTTACTGAAGTCAAAACACATTCTTCTTAGGAAAGTAATGGAAAAAAAAATCCTAATGTACTCAATACCATTATGAAACCAATATATAAACAACTACAAGCCCACACAAATGATAGAATACAACAGTCTAACAAGGGGGAGGGAAATTAGTGGGATCTTACCTAATGTGCACAATGTGAGGGTACTCAATACACCCCTCTGGGTGAAGGGCTCAAATACAACTTCAACTGAACTTTACCTTAGAACAGGAAACAATGTAACCTAAAAATGTGTACCCTCATATTAATTTGAAATTAAAAATAAAAACTTCATCTCTTGCTCTGGTAGTACCTTCAACAAGAGTCTATAGGCATTATTAACAAGGTGAGATCAGAATTGGCTCTCATCATGTTTTCACTTCAGTATGAACAATGTTCATGTGCGCTTTTCTCACACAGGAAAATAAATTGCTTGGGCCTGTTCAGCAGCCTCTGATCAACATGGATTTCAAAAGCAGAAATAGCCCCCAACTATCTGAATATATTGTCCTCCCATGGTGAATTATGTAGTTTGGTAAGTCCTTTGGCCTTGCCAAGAGTTGCGGGGAAGCAGTCAGGTCCTATCCACAAGAGAGAGTAAGTTTAGGATAATGGGCAATGAGGATGGGATCAGTGGGGAGCAACCACACCAAGAGGGACACCACCATCCTGACCTCTTACACTTAAGTTTCAACAGAGTACTTCAGAGACCCTTGTTTTGATGCTGCATACATTTATATACTTTCCCAATCTTAAAAAACACTATGTCAATGCATTCAATACAACATGCCACCTTTGTATATCATGCTTGTATAAACAATTTTTCCATGCAAAAATTTAAAAACAAAGAAAATATTCCCATCAGCTAATGTAACAGAAAAGGCCTTAAGTAGAATAAGCCAAGTTGCTAAAGGAATCTTCCAGGTCAGGTAAACTTTATTTCCATCTTTATAAGGCTGATAGAAATGATGTGATTCTTTTAAACCTCATTACCATGACACCGACCTAGGCTCAGATACCTTTTTAAGTTCTTGACAATACAACTTCTTTGAATTCTGTTTACCCAAATTAGCTTTACTCTTAGTTTTGCAATGTCCAGATTCCTAGAAAATAAATGAAAAAGACATAAAATTATAAGTACAGCAGCTGTAACCTGTATTTCCATTTAGTATAGCTGATTAGCAGCAGAGCAGTTGATATTTAAGTTAAGATAGGGTATGAACTCAGTTTTCTTCCTCCAAAGCAGCTCAGGAACCCTTGCTCTTTGTGATTTTACTTCTGCATCAGAATTCATCTGTCAGTTACAAAGGGACCTAATCATACCTCTTTCACAGGTTCCACATTAGATGGCTTAACATCAGAATTATTTTCAAGTTTTCTTTTCTTTTCTTGCTCTTTTTGCCTGTCAAGTTTCTGTTGCTGTTTCAGTTCTTCAAGCTGTATCCAACCCGTAACATAAACAGGTTTAAGTCAGTGATTAGTGCTGTTACCTTACCCTGAAAAAACACCTTCCCCCACTATACCACTCACTGAAAATTTTAGCTAACATAACTCACCCGCTGTTTCCTTAGCTCAGCTTCCCGGAGAAGTGCCTCCTTAAAGGGAGCACTGTTTGGAACTCCTGGGTCTTTCCTAGGCTTTTTGTGACCTCGTTTTTTAGCCTCCTTTCTCAATTTTCGATGGTGCTCACGAACCTAGTATAATAAACGTTATCAGTTTATAAAAATATTTCTATTTAAGCAGAATTTAAGAAACCAATCTGGCTGCAGTTTGATTATGCCATTAAAATGTCCTAGGAAAATGGGGCTTTAATTGGAATCACACAAAGAACATTTATACATATGTATAAAACAAAGTGTCTTGGGCACACATGCTCCTAATTCTAGCATTCTGGGAGGCTGAGGGAGGATTGCCTCAGGTCAAGGGTTTAAGATGACCCTCAGGAAGTGCGAGACCCCATCTCTACCAAAAATAAAAAAATTAGCCAAATGTGGTGGCATGCATTTGTAGTCCCATATACTTTCAAGGCTACATCAAAAAGGTAACTTGAGCTCAAAAGTTAGAGATCACAGTGAGCTATGACATCACTGTCTAGCCAGGGTGACACAGGGAGACCCAGTTTTAAATCGAACAAACAAAAACACCAGGTGCAGTGGCTTACGCCTGAAATCCTAGCACTCTAGGAGGGCAAGGTAGGTGGACAGCTTAAGCTTAGGAGTTTGAGTCCAGCCTGAGAAAGAGCAAGACCACTGTCTCTAAAAACAGCCAGGAGTTGTGGCAGGTGCCTATAGTCCCAGCTACTTGGGCATCTGAGGCAAGAGAATCGTTTGAGCCCCCAAGTTTGATGTTGCTGTGAGCTATGATGCCATAGTACTCTACTGAGGGGGACAAAGTGAAAAAAAAATATCTTTAGAAAAATCTCTGAAGTTTATCTTGTCACCAAATTACTTCACTTTCCCACAGCTGCACTCCTGATACCCAAGAACTTATGCCCATAGTCTGTCTAATCCCTCCCATTTCCCAAGACTAAATCACATTAATCCAGACTTCCTCTGTAGGAGAGTGGAGCAGAGATCAGTTTAGCAATATATTTGGTATAACTCTCCTTAACACTTACCTTTTTTTGGATTTTATACCGCTTGTGGCAGGTCATGCGTTTACTTGCTTTCTTTAACTCTAGAAAGAAACACATCACAAATGGACTAACACAATTGGTCTGTTTAGTTTTAGGGGAGGCCATTATGGAATCACATGTTTTTCTGTGTATTGGCTGTTAAACTTAACATCAAGAATCATGTGCGGGCCAGGCACGGTGGCTCACGCCTGTAATCCCAGCACTCTGACAGGCTGAGGCGGTGGACTGCTTGAGCTGATGAGTTCCAGACCAACCTGAGCAAGAGCTAGACACTATCTCTACTAAAAATAGAAAAACTAGCCCGGCGTTATAGCGGAGTTCTTAAGTCCCAACTACTTGGGAGACTGAGGCAAAGAGTCTAGGAGCTGCAGGACGCTGTGAGCTACGATGCCAAGGCACTCAACCCAGGAGCGACAGAGTGAGACTGCCTCAAACAAAAAAGGAATCATGCAGGATGTTTAATACAAACGTATGTGCCACTTGCACATCCCAAAGATTCAATAGGCCAGCAAAGAACTCACTCTTTCCATACTAAATACAATGGGATCACAAGCGCTACGAATCAAGGCAGGAGGCGCATTCAGCCGGTTTGCACGTGCCGGCCGAGAGGACACGGTTGGGCACGAAACCCCGCTCAGTCAGTTTCCTCATAAGAACCCGCCTAGTTTTTCCCTACTCAATCCCAGCCTTCCTTCTGCACAGTGAGCCCCGAGGTTAACAGAATCAGACTAAAAGGATCGGCCTAAAGTCTTCCAGCTCTCGGTTCTTCCTGGGAACAGGCGGCGGCCTACCCGTAGACTTCCACCACAACCCCAGCAGAGACCAAGCAGTAGATAGAGCGCCCTGGTGGGTTCGGAGACACAAGACAGGCGTCCATTTCTGCCCACCTCTTGACCCCACTCACTTGGTCTCTTCATGCTGTCGGTGGAAACGACAGCAGACGGAAAAGCAACAGCCGCAAGATACCTCAGCAAGCGCCACGTGAGAACTGAGGCCACAGGCACGCACCTTGCAATTACGCTGCTGCCGTAGAGTGAGCCGCTGTTCTTCCCAGTGCGCGCGCACGCAATGTCGTGAGGAGCTAGCATCGCTTTGCGGCCTCGGGGCTGGTTTTGCAGCGGCACCGGGAGGGGTGAGGGCGGTGAGGGCGGCGGGTGCCGGGAGCGACGGCAGCGGCCGCGGCCGGAGAAGCAATAGCAGCAGCCGTGGCGGCTACGGGGCGGGGCGCGGCGGTCGGAGACCGCGGCCGGGGCTGCAGGCGGCGGAGCGGCTGGGTAAGGCCGGGCCCGGGGAGGGCGGGGCCGTTCCCCCTCGGCCAGCTGCCGGGCCTTTGTGTGGGCCCGGGCGGGCGGGAGCCGCGGCGGAGGCCCCGCCCCGGCCGTGGGGACGCGCCGGTGGAGCCGGACGCGCGGGGCGGGGCGGGGTCCGGCGGCCGGCCTCGGGACGGGCCCAGCAGCCTTGTGGCACCTGCTATCCGGGACAAAGGCGTGCTACGGCCCGGAATCTCCCCGCGCCCCTCTTTCCCGCTCGTCCGGGAGCCACAGCTTTAAAGCTGTCAACGTTTTCCTTAGTCTCCCTTATCAGTGACAGGTCGGCAAAGTCCTTCATTTCCTTCGCCGCTCTGGGCCTCTTTTTTTTGTTGTTTCTTGACTGTTCGAGGCAAACTCCCCTGATGATTTTTTTTCATTACGTATTTTTGTTAGTAGAACTTGTATTTGGATTGAGGCCCGATATTTCAGTTTCTTATCTCTATACCATAAAGAATCGCGCTTTGAAAACTGCATTATTTCCGGGTTTGGGGACGCAAAGAAGTAATTTAAAGGGGGAAGAAAGTTGCGAAAATATAGAAAAAATCCTGAAAAACAAATGATAAGGACAATTTTAGAGGTATATGTTAGAGTAAAACATTTTAGTTTACTTTACACACACACTAGATATGTTAGAGTAAAACATTTTAATCTACTTTCCACACACGCTTCCTCAAAAATGATTTTAGATTTTTTCATTTGTTAATGCTTTTCCCCCCCACATATAATTCATAAGCAAATCGAACACAATGTAAATATGAAAGAGTAGTATAATTTTTGCTTTATTGACATCCTAATATTTTGGATTTTAAGATTCAGAATTGTTGAATGGACGGTATCTTTTGAAGAGGTGTTTCATATTAAAACAATAACATATGTTGTGAATGAATATTTTGACTTTGGGAACATACCAAATACCTCCATATTAATATTCTACCAAAATCCCCAACACTAACATTCTACTCAAATCCCCAAGATAAATTGTATTTTTATACTGCTTGTGTATATAACAGACAGCAAACATTACTAGGAAGAATGTTAACTTGACAGAATCTTGCCTAAGTAAAACACAGGCTTCAAGATAATACATATGGTTTGTTGACACTTTGGAAAAAAAGTAGGTAAGGCATAAATATCAAAAATTCTGAACACCAACATTAAGGGTTATTGTTCTCTGGGAACAGGATAATAGGTGCTTTGTTTTTTTCTTTGTGTCTTCTGTTTTCCGATATTTTTGTTTTAAGCATGTATTATAATATTAAATATCAGTAGAAATACAGCGAAGTACTAACCGTCAAAACATTTGTCTATGTTTGAGTAAATATTCTCCCAGTTGCACATTATAATGTGTTCTTTACTGTTCACTGTAAATTATTACTGGTTGGGGCGGCGCCTGTGGTTCAGTGGGTAGGGCACCAGCCCCATATACTGAGGGTGGCGGGTTTGAACCCGGCCCCAGCCAAACTACAGCAAAAAATAGCCAGGTGTTGTGATGGGCACCCATAGTCCCAACTACTTGGGAAGCTGAGGCAAGAGAATTGCCTAAGCCCAGGAGTTGGAGGGTGCTGTGAGCTGTGATGCCACAGCCCTCTACTGAGGGTGATAAAGTGAGCCTCTGTCTCTACAAAAGAAAAAAAAATTATTACTGGTTGTCAGACTTTTGAACTTGTGACTATAATTTTAAAACCTGAAAAGAATTACAGAATCTGTTTCTTTCTTCTTCATGTGAAAAAGATGCTGAAAGGCTGCTTATAGGCCTTTTGAACTACACCAATAAACTTTTTTTAAAGGTTACACTTATATGCACTTTTAATACATTTATTAAAAAGGTAAATTAAGCACCCAGCCTATACCAAACGCTATTCTATAAGACAGGGGTAATAAAATTAGTAAGATGTTGTTCCTGTGCCCAGGGAGCATGCAGTCCTAGAGTGAGTTGTACTTATAAATTTCAAAGTGATTCCATGCACATGGTCTTATTTCATTGTCACAGAGACCCAAAGAATTTAGGTACACTTTGCTATCTCATTTTAGAGATGAAGAAACATCTGAGAGGTACAGGCAACATCAAACAGATAATTAGAAGTTGAAGAGCTGGGACTCCTATTTTGGTCTTAAGAGCAAGTGTAGGTCACATTGGTTCTCCCACCTCACAACATTGACTTTCTTGCCAACCTTTCAACGTATGTTTTAAAATGTGTTCTTTGGATAAAAAAAAAAAAAAACTTGAAAATTATCCATAAGTTGCATCTATTTCTTATCAAAGTAATGATCCAAGGATTTTGGGATATTATAGCATCTCAACTACATAATCACACATGATGATATTTTACATTTTTTGTCATTTGATTTGCAGCAGATTACTTATAAAAGTAATTTTGAGCTCCTGCCAAAATGGTTGAAGGCATTTTGTTTTTTTAACACTTGTCAGATTTACATATGATGTCTTCCCAATGCAGATAGGACTTTTGTACAGAAATGTTGTCTTTCTCTGAATTATGGCGGGGGGTGGGGTGGGGTGGGGTGCAGCGAAGTTTTCCAGATTCTTTGCTCATATGAGCCATTCTCGGTTTGTTCCAGCTTGCCAACACTTGGTGTCACATGTGAGCCTCCCACATGTATTTACTCTCTATTCCAGCTCTGTGATTGAACTCTGCTCTTATTGACTAGGGGACAATTGGGCAGGCATGCTTCATTCCTGGAATTGACAGTCATTCCATGTGAGTAAAGGGGAACCTCAGTGAGACATCTTTAAACATATGAAAGCATTTGGTTTTAAAATGGAAGAAATGCCAGGTCCTGTTAGTGCCTGAGCCTTTGCAGCAGTTTGTTTGATAGGTGCAAGAGAACTGATATGCCTATTTTTCTCTCGTTTTCTTATCTTTCTTTAGCAGTTCTATTTGAATGTTTCTATCCGTACTCATTTTTACTCCTTCTGACCCTTCTTTTCTATTTTCCCTTTCTCTGCCTTGTTCTTTTTCAGTTTTGAATATACTAACACTGAATCAGCACTTCTATAGCCCTGCCTTCTCCCACTGGCTTCACTTGGCCTTCAGACATAATGAGGAGACTGGCTTTTCGAGGCGCTGGTTGTGCTCTGGTAAAGCTGGTAAATTACTGATTATCTACCCTTTCCCTTTTCTGTCCTTCCTTGCCTTTTCCCTTCCATCTTAAATTTTTGTTATCCTTTCCATGAGACTCCCTCTGATGTTCATCAAATTCAATTGTGTCCTTGTCATAGATTGTTTACAAAAGATCCTTAACTTTTTTTATCTTAGTGAATCAAAGTCAGTTTATCAGCTTTTAAGAAAATTAATAAAAAGCAACAACATTTGGTTAAATTTTGGCCTAAGCCTTTTGAAGGTTTTAGCTACTTTTAGCCAAGTTCAAACTAATATACTGTGTAATAAACCAAAACCTTAGAAGAAGAAACATCTGGTAGATTTCTGTTTTAAAGCACCAGTGTACTTTAGTTTGGAGAAAGAAATAGGAGTTTCCTCTTGTTTCTTGGTTACTTACCAGGATGTTTTATTTGCTTGTTTTGGCCCTGTTTTCTGTTTCCTGGAGATCCCTCTCCATACTGTTGGCAACCAGTACTCTACTGTTCCTAATCATTCAGCTACTGGTGTCTCACTTTCCTGAAATTGAATATTAGTGAGAGAAACTGGGATCTATTTTTTCTTTTAGCTTTATTTATTTTCTCTTTTAACTTTAGAAAATGGCCTTTGAAATCACAGTATACTGATATTCAATCACATAAACATTGCAGGACTTTTCTTGGGTATATACCCTTTGTATCTGTAGTAGATCATTTCAGTGGTTCCATTTCTTGTGTTATTGTCAAATGCATATATTTGGAAAGTTAAGATTACTTAGTAGCTGCCCCAAAACTGAGAAAACATTTATGTGTTTCTAAACAGCCATGCAAGCTCTAGATCTAAAAAGTTCATGTCACGAAGTGCTCTTTCACATTATCTACTGAGGCTTAAAGCTAAGATTTCAAAAGTGATGGGGAATAGAGTATATCATACAATTGCAAATGAAGTAGTTTGGATTAACAGAAGACTTTCAAAGGACAGTTTAGCTATTTCTGCCTATATATGGCAAGTGTCATTAAATGTTTTCCAGGAATATGTCTTATGGATCCTGCTTTAATAAATAGAGAAAATGCATTTTTAGGGTATTAATTTTAGGGTACGTCTAAAATGCTAATAGGCTAAATATCCTCTGCCTCTTTACTTTTTTTCCACTACTCATTTGTCTTACACACTGCTTCTTGCTCTTTTCCACATTATGGCCCTCCTGGAAAAAGGTCACTAATTATAAGGTACATGGAAAGGCAGATGAGGCTGCTCACTCCAGAGACCTCTGTCTCCCATTCCTGCCTGATTGCCTCAGGGGCTGAGAGATCAGTACCTCCAGCATATTGGTATACTACTACACACGGGCTGGGAACTTGCAGTCCAGAGTAAATTTGGAGCCAGAAATGATTGAGTTATTCAAAATTGTTGATACATACGAGTACACTTTTGTCTGATCAAAGCTGAAAGCATTGTAGCATTCTGGTAAATGAAAAGACTAGAGCAACAAGTACCAGAACTTAACTTAAAAAATACTTATAGTTAGTTAAACTCCTTTGCAACAAGTTAAGATATCCTCTTATGTGAGCCAGAAGTTTGGTGGCAAGTGACCAGCTGAGGGCTTTGTGACAGAGTCTAAATTTAATTATAAGAACGTGGCTAATTATTTCTTATAGAAGAAGTTGGATTCCATGGGTTCCAAGAGAAGAAGAGCTACCTCCCCTTCTAGCAGTGTCAGTGGTGACTTTGATGATGGGCACCATTCTGTGTCTACACCAGGCCCAAGCAGGAAAAGGAGGAGACTTTCTAATCTTCCAACTGTTGACCCTGTGAGTAACTTGGATTACATGGTTTCTGCCTGCTTTTCCCACCCTTCCTTTAATGGTGAAATGATGAGGATGCAAAGCCTCTCTACTTTTTCTCTAGCTTAATAGTCTTAATCTTTCATTTATGAAAAGTGTGTGTTTGGTCAAAAGTATTTAGTCAAAAGTCTTACAGTAGTAGTATAAGTTAATATTTTGAAATAATGAAGAATATCAGCATGTTTCATAATATATTCATTCATTAAATAATTGTGTGCCTGTCGTGGTTGGGATATAGCAATGTATGATGTATGTCTGTTTTTCGCATGGAGCTTATATTCCAGTGTGGGGGAAGTAGAGTGTAAATAAGTGAACAAATACAGAATAAAACATTCTTAGCTAATAATAAGTACTATGAAGAGAAGTTTGTGTGATTTGATTTGATTTGTTTTTGGCCTGAATCTTCTGGAAAATTCTCTGATAAGAAGGCATCTATCTTGCAAAGCCCCAGTTTCAAGCAGAGGGGCTAGCTAAGGGATAGGTTTGACATGTCATGATTATAGACACATGGTCAGGAGAGAGAAGAAAACTAATGAGCTCCAACCAACCTGATTAGGTAGAGCTTTTGTAAGCAATGTTAGGAATTTAGATTTTATTCTCTGTGTAGTGAGAAACCTTCTGTTGGATCACTTATCAACATTGTGAAGTAACTTAGTTTAAAAGAAAAAATCCTGGGCAGCGCCTGTGGCTCACTGAGTAGGGCGCTGGCCCCATATCCCGAGGTGGCAGGTTCAAGCCCATCCCTGGCCAAATTGCAACAAAAAATAGCTGGGCGTTGTGGCAGGCACCTGTAGTCCCAGCTACTTGCCTCTTGGCTGAGGCAAGAGAATCACCAAAGCCCAGGAGTTGGAGATTGCTGTGAGCTGTGATGCTACAGCACTCTACCGAGGGCAGCAAAGTAAGACTCTGCCTCTAAAAAAAATAATAAAACAAAAGAAAAAAATCACAAATAGTATAAATCTGATGAAAGATACCAAAAACATAATCAGTTAGATCATTTTATTTATTTATTTGCAGTTTTTTTGGCCGGGGCTGGGTTTGAACTCCAGCATATGGGTCCGCCTTACTCCTTTGAGCCACAGGCGCCGCCCCTCAGTTAGATCATTTTATTTTATTTTTTTAATTTATTTTTTTCTGTGGGTTTTATTTTTTAATTTTTTGGCCGAGGCTGGGTTTGAACCCACCACCTCCGGCATATGGGACCGGTGCCCTACCCTTTTGAACCACAGGTGTTGCCCAGTTAGATCATTTTAAAGGACAGATACCATTGACATGTTTCAGGCTTGGGTTCTTATGTGTTGATTTGGGAATTCACTTTTTTTTTCTCCTCTGTTTGCCTTTTTTGGATGTGTTTGTATGTTTGTATTAAAGAATAGTAGATATAATAGATAGTCCTTAAGCCTGCACTGGTTTTCTGTTTACTTTTTTGGTGACTTTTTTACTTTTCCTATGTGTAGATTGCTGTGTGCCATGAACTCTACAACACCATCCGAGACTATAAGGATGAGCAGGGCAGACTACTCTGTGAGCTCTTCATTAGGGCACCAAAGCGAAGGTGAGTTGGAAGCAGGCCAGTACATTGGGAGAGATTTGGTTCATGCTCCATGTTTAAAGTATTTGGCAATTGAGTTTTTCTTTGCGAAGGTGAGTTGGAAGCAGGCCAGTACATTGGGAGAGATTTGGTTCATGCTCCCTGTTTAAAGTATTTGGCAATTGAGTTTTTCTTTCTTTTTTTTTTAAATTTATGTATATTTTTTTATTTTTATTTATTTATTTTTTTGAGACAGAGTCTCACTATGTCATCCTCGGTAGAGTGCCATGGTGTCATAGCTCACAGCAACCTCAAACTCTTGGGTTTAAGCGATTCTTTTGCCTCAGCCTCCCAAGTAGTTGGGACTACAGGTGCCCACCACAATGCCTGGCTATTTTTTGTTGCAGTTGTCATTATTGTTTTAGCTTGCCCAGGCTGAGTTTGAACCTGCCACCCTCTTGGTGCTGTAACCACTGTGCTATGGGTGCCAGGCCAGGCAATTGAGTTGTTTTTTGCTTTTTGTTTTTTTGTGCAGTTTTTGACCGGGGCTAGGTTTGAACACACCACCTCTGGTATATGGGGCTGGTACCCCATTCCTTTGAGCCACAGGGGCCACCTGGCAATTGAATTTTTCTTTGGCAGGAATGGCTTAAATGATATGGGGGTCCAATTTTAGTCTTATTTGTCAAAATGTGGTAAATTTGTTTTAATTAAAAATTTTTGAGCCAGGCATTGTGATGTACATGTGTAGTCTCAGCTGTTTTGGACTAGGGTGGGAGGATTGCTTGAACATTGGAGTTTGAGGCCACCCCGAACAGCATAGTGAAACCCTGTCTAAAAGAAAAACCCAAATTTAATTGTGGTAAAGAACACAGAACATAAAATTTATAATTCTAATCATTCTGTATGTACAGTTCATTAAGTATTATGTACATTAACATTATCCTACAGGCTCTAGAACTTTTTCATATTTCAAAACTGAAACTCTGTACTTATTAAACTACTCTTCATCAGGTGGCACCTGTGGCTCAGTGGATGGGGTGCCGGCCCCATATACCGAGGGTGGCGGGTTCAAACCTGGCCCCTGCCAAACTGCAACAACAATAAAAATAGCTGGGCATTGTGGCAGACGCCTGTAGTCCCAGCTACTTGGGAGCTGAGGCAAGAGAATCGCCTAGGCCCAGGAGTTGGAGGTTGCTGTGAGCTGTGTGATGACGCCATGGCACTCTACCAAGGGCGACAAAGTGAGACTCTATCTCTACAAAAAAAAAAAACTACTCTTCATTTCTTTCTTTTTCTGGCCCTGGTGACCACCATTCTACTTTCTGTTTCTATGAATTTGACTACCTTAGATATCTTGTATAAGTGGAATCATAATTGTAGTTTTGAAATTGTCTTATTTCACTCAGCATAATTCATAATTCTCTCAAGATTGTTCATGCATGTTTATTATGTGCCAGAATTTCCTTCCTTTTTAAGGCTGAATAATATTCCATTATGTGTGTATATCACATTTTCTTTTTTTTTTTTGGAGGCAGAGTTGCCCTCAGTAGAGTGCTGTGGTGTCATACTTCACAGCAAATCTCAAACTGTTGGGTTCAACATCAACTCTTGCCTCAGCCTCCGAAGTAGCTGAGACTTCAGGTACCTGCCATGATGCCTGGTTGGTTTTTCTACTTTGAATAGAGACAGGGTCTTACTCTAGCTTAGGCTGGTCTCAAACTCCTGAGCTCAAGCAGTCCACTTGCCTCAGCCTCCCAATACGCTAGGATTGTAGGTGTGAGGCACCACACCTGGCAGTGGAGTTGTTTTCTTAATTTCCTTTTCGTATTTATTCTTGGAATACAAGGATAGTTTAATATACAAAAGTTTATCTGTATGATATGCCACATTAACAGAATAAAGAAAAACAACTAAATAGTCATCTCAGTTGATGTAGAAAAAGCATTTGACAAAGTTCCACACCCTTTCATGATAAAAGCAGCAGACTAGAAATAGAAGGAACATAACTCAGTATAATAGTTCGTATATGAAAAGCCTGTGGCAAACTTCATATTCAATGCTAAAAAACTAAAAGGTTTCCATCTAAGATCAGGAAGAAGACAGTGATGCTACTCTTGCTACTTCTATTCAACATTGTTCACTGAATAAATACCTTTTAATATGCCGTTGAATTCAGTTTGTTAATATTTTATTGAGGATTTTTGCATCAGAGTTCTCTTTAATAATTAAATCATAGCTGTGTACATTAATGTAATCATGGGGTAAAATATGCTGGTTTTATATACAATTTTAAATATTTTCATCAAACTGGTTAACATAGCCTTCACGGCATTTTCTTAGTTATTGTGTTTAGACATTTATATTCTACACTTAGTAAATTTCACATGTACCCTTGTAAGATGCACCGAAAAATATGGCATGCTTCACGAATTTGCGTGTCATCCTTGTGCAGGAGCCATGCTAATCTTCTCTGTATCGTTCCAATTTTAGTCTATGTGCTGCCAAAGTGAGCACTGCATCAGTGTTCTTAAGGAATATTGATTTATAGTTTTCTTTTCATGTCTTTGTCTGGTTTTGATATTAGGGCAATGCTAGCCCCATAGAATGAAGTAGGAAATGATGTCTCTTCAATTTTTGGAAAAGTTTGAGAAGATTAGTGCTAGTTCTTTAAATGGTAGAATTCACTCACTTTTTGGGGGGAGATTTTTGATTACTTAGTCTTCTTACTAGTTATAGGTTTATTCAGGTTTTCTTTTTCTTCATTTGCAATCTTGGTAGGTTGTGTGTTTCTAGGAAATTATCCATTTCTTCTAGATTATCCGATTTGTTGGCTTATAATTTTTCATAGCACTTTTTCATAACCCTTTTTATTTCTGTGACATCTGTTGTAATATCCCCTCTTCTATTTTTGATTTTAGTTATTGAATCGTCTTTTTTCTTCATTAATCTAGCTAAGGATTTGTAAGTTTCGTTGATCTTTTCAAAAACCCATCTCTTAGTTTTGTTAATTTTTTTATGTTGTTTTACACTTTTGTATTTTGTTTAACACTGCTCTATTATTTTCTTCCTTCTGTTAGCTATGGGTTTATTTGTTTTTCTTTCCCTAGTTCCTTGACAGTGAAGAATATTTTAAAAAATTATTTAAATCTTTTAAATAGCAGTGAAGTTGTTGCAGTCATAGTTAAAAGAGATCAATTTTTAAAAATGCACAGAGAAGCATTTTGCACACACCTTCCTATGCGGTCTGTGTTCCCCCTAACTAGAGCATTCTTCCTCTCTTGCTTTCAAAATATCATCTGTATTTCCTTCAAAATCTTGGCAGTTGAAGTATTCTGTTCTGAAAATGTACGTTAATGTTGTAAGACAGAACACTGGCCAAAAAATGCCCATGTTCTAATCTCTGGAACCTGTAAATTTGTTGGGTTACGTGACAGAGGGAAATTAAGTTTACTAATTAGTTGACCTTGAGTTGGAGAAATTATCTGGGATTATCTACATGGGCCTAATGTAATCATAATCATAAGGGTCCTTAAATGGGGAAGAAAGAGATTCAGTTGGAGAGAGATGCGAAGATGCTATCCTGCTAACTTTGAAGATCAAGGAAGGGAACAATAAACCAAGGAATGCAAGCCACTCTAGAAGCTGGAAAAAGCAAGGAAACAGATCTCCACTAAAACCTCCAAAAGGCATTCATCCCTCCTAATACCTTGATTTTAAACCAGGGAGACCCATTCTGAACTTCTGATTTCTAGAACTAAGTAATAAATTGGTGTTCTTTCAAGCTTGTAAGTTTTTAATAATTTGTTACAGCAGTTATAGACAACTAATACAGCAAGTTAACAAAAAATTTAGATCTATTCATGATCGTTGATCCTGTAATGGGTATCTGACAAGCTCTAACTTGAACTGAGGGCAAATTTCTGACCTCAAAGAGAACTTTGAGGGAGATGCAGTGTCACTGTCTCAAGTCAGGAGAGCCGTTTAATTAGTGATGGCCAAAAAGGAAGAGCTGTTTTTATTCATTCATTCTTTCATTTTTGAGACAGTGTCTCAAGCTGTCACCCTGGGTAGAGTGCTGTGGCATAGCTCACAGCAACCTCCAACTCTTGGGCTCAAGCTATCCTCTTGCCTCAGTTTTTTATTTTTAGTAGAGACGGGGTCTCGCATTTGCTCAGGCTGGTCTTGAACTTGTGAGCTAAAGCAGTCCACCCATCTTGGCCTCCCAGAGTGCTAGGGTTATAGGCATGAGCCACTGTGCCCGGCCTGGAAGAGAATGAGGTAACCGTCTTCATATTTGAATCAGTTTGTCAATCAATAATAGTCTTCTAAAAGTCATTCTTTAATTAGCATAAGATAATAAAAGCACATATTAAAGCTTACCCTATCCTTGACACAGTGCCACGCACTTTACAGATTATATCTTGTCTAAACTTAAGTGGTATTATCACAGTTTATAGATGAGAACTTACACAAATTTTTAGAACTGTTACAAGTTCAGATTTAAGTTATTCTGACCTATATACTCTTAACTATTATGTGTTATAAGGGAGCATCAGTAGCATACTGAAGTATACAAAACCCCTCATAGAAAGGGTACCATGTCTCTGCTGAGTGTTTTTCACCAGCAAGCTAGTGCTAGGGGTCAGAAAGATATGTGTAAGTCTTGGAGCACTGTCATATTGCAACTTCAAGGTGTCTGAGGGCCTGTCAGACCCTTGCGGAATGCACATGTTTTCTCAAGTGTTTATAGGAAGTAGCTCAGAGCTACGCAATTGTGAATCTCTTTTTTTTGGAGACAGAGTCTCACTTGGTCACCCTTGGTAGACTGCCATGGCATCTTAGCTCACAGCAACCTCAAATTCTTGGGCTCAAGTGATTCTCTTGCCTCAGTCTCCCAGGTAGCTGGGACTATAGGCACCCGCCATAGTGCTTAGCTGTTTTCTTTCTTTCTTTTTTTTTTAGAGACGGTGTCTCAGTCTTGCTCAGGTTGGTCTAGAACTCGTGAGCTCAGGCAAGTCACC